TGTCCTCAGCTTGAAAAACCTTTTTCTTAGCGGGAGGAACGTTGTTCTCAGCGTGAGGAACCTTGCTCTCAGCTTGAGAAACCTTGTCCTCAGCGTGATGAAACTTGTCCTCAGCGTGAAGAACCCTGTCCTCAGCGTGAGGAACCTTGTCGTCATCATGAGGAACCTTGTCCTCAGCGTGAGGAAACTTGTCCTCAGCGTTAGCAACTTTGTCCTCAGCGTGAGGAACCTTGCCCCAGCTTGAGGAACTTTGCTCTCAGCGCGAGGAACCTTGTCCTTAGCGTGAGGAACCATGTGGTCAGCGTGAGGAACCTTGTCCTCAGCGTGAGGAACCTTGTTTTCAGCGTGAGGAACCTTGTCCTCAGCGTGAGGAACCTTGTCCTCGGCTTGAAGATCCTTGTCGTCAGCGTGAGGAACGTTGTCCACAGCTTGAGAAAGCTTGTTCTCAGCGTGAGGAACCTTCTATTCAGCGTGAGGAACCTTGTTCTCTGCATGAAAAACCTTGTCCTCAGCGTGAGGTACCTTGTCCTCAGCGTTAGGAACTTTGTCCTTAGCGTGAGGAACCTTGTCCTCAGCTTGAGGAACATTGCTCTCAGCGCGAGGAACCTTTTCCTTAGCGTGAGCAACCTTGTGCTCAGCGTTATTCCTCAGAGTCAGGAACCCTGTTCTCAGCGTGAGGAACCTTGTCCTCAGCGTTGCAGAACTTGTGCTCAGCGTGACGAACCTTAATAATAATAATAATAATAATAATAGCTTTATTCATCCATCTTAAGATAAAAAAGTACAATGGACTTACAATTACTTGTTTAAGAAAGTATATATGCTGTGGATATGTCTTTATATTACAAATTGTTGTAAGATAACTTAGAAAACTAAGAAGTTAAAACTAATAAATTCTTTAATCTAATGAGTTCTTCTTATAAGTTAAAACTATTTATACATATTTACAAGCTCTACCTGAAAATGAATGTTTATGCCTTTCAGTTCCTGAGAAGAATGATATATTACGATTCCGGTCAATGTTCCTTAAATTGTACTGATTGTTAATTAATTTTGGCAAAACACTGCGACAGGGATGGTGTGGATCGTTCATAAACCTATCAACTTCTCTACTAGTTGCCTCTTCCCTTCTTTCGTTCAACGGTGGTAGGTAATCTTTTTCCAGGCCAAGGATTCTTAAGCTCCTGGATTGAACCCGCTCTATTTCATCTCGCAGGTAATTAGGGAGTCCCGC